GTATTGCCACCCCTAATGCCAGTAGACAATAGTAAAAAAAATAGGGACAATGATTCAGTCACATATTAATATATTATTTATTGTAATAATATATCATACCAGCTCACGGGCTTTCAAGCCAAACCTCATTAAATTAAGCTTGTGCTTGTTTGCTATTTTTTTTCCTATAAAACTTGAACCTGTTTTATTTATTAAACAAGTTAGGCCAAATCAAATCTTGAATCTCAAACAAGCTACTCGACCCATTTACATCCTTATTCTCGCATACTCCCCTCTCCAACAGTTGCTCCCCATTTATCTCCTAAAGCAACAAGGGTAACAGAACCAAATTTTAGACTTGGGCCAATGGGCCACAGACCCAATAAAGGCAAAACACTCTTTTCTTGAATTCTTATTTTCCGAACACAGTTGTTGGCGTGGGTTTTTTGAATGATGTATATATTCAGATTAATATATGATACTTACTCAAATTCTTATACTTACTCAAATTCTTAAGTATAAAAAGTTATAATATAATTAAAGATTATAGCTTTTGACGTAAGAATAAATGCTCGATTTAATAGGTAATATTAAGTTTACGCAATATTAAATAGACCAAGGCAACAATTTTACCGTACTAGCTTATACTTAGCAACCAAATGATGGTAGTTCAATTGGTGCAAGTGGGGGTGAGAACATGTGTTCGATTCTCCCAGTACAGTCTTTGAGAAGGATTTAAAGCCTTAATCCCGGGACCCGCCCCGAATCAGACTAGTCGCGAAGCGATGAACCGAATGAAATATTTCCAAAAAAAAACTTATACTTAGCAACAACCAACTATAATTTTAGGCTCACAGAGATTAGAGGTTATTGTTGGACAAGTGGCCTCAAAATTTTAGAGGGAATTTAATTGAGTTTTAAAAATATTTTCACAAAATATCTCACTTTATTTGTAAAATTAATTTCTTAAGATTCTATGATTTAGGATGAGCAAAACATAATGGATATATAGAAACTTAGACAAGCTAATAATGAACAACAAAATTGAAGCTAAAATGTTCAAATATGCCATGAATAATTATATATGTAAAGGAGATAAGGGATAGAAAAAGTGCAAACTTCATTTATCCTGATTCAATCACAACCATTGTAACCTAAGTCCAGCCTTTAATCAACACAATAGTTCCACTATTGGTCAAGTTTTAAGGATGCTTGAACAACCCGTTACAACCTCCAAGATTTTGGTTCTTTGACAACTTATACTTCCCCCCAAATTTCTTAGGCAATGTGTTATCTATTCCACTAGGTTCTCACAACAACCCCCATGAAGATTAAGAAGATCAACACCGACAAGAATGCCTCCAACATGTTGACTAAAATTGTTACTTGAGAGATATTTGAGTTGTGCAAAAAGCTTGCACGGATTCCAAGTGAAGAGTTAGTTTGTAGTTGTCTCCCACATAGGTAAGGAGGAAGAGATTTGTTGGGTCAGTGACTCTATTTAATTTTGTGGACCAATGGCCCTTTAGTTTTGCAACCTTAATTTTAAAAGAGAAAAAAGAAAGAAGCGGCAACAGCACCAAAGAAAAGCACAAAGAAGAAAAGAGAAGAAAAAGAGAAAGAAAAAAGAGGAGAGAGAAAAAAAAAATCTTATTTGGCGAATCCAACGATTTGTCAAAATGAACTCAAACTTTAAGGGAATGTTCGTGGCATTTAGTACTTAATATCTAACTGTAGATTTGTGTTTTGGAGATTTCTAGAGCAACATATATATTTTCTCCCTTTGTAATGATTTCCCTCTTTTTTACTCTTGATTTCAAATTTTTTTTTAATGATGTTATTTGATTCATCTATTATTGCATAGAGAGGGAATATTGTGAATTATAGTACCCATTATTGTTGTTTGGTAATAATAGAGACTTGGACCGACTCCGATAAAAGTTTCTTGATTTTTCTTTAACATTGAGTTTTTCACGTTAAAAGTCTTGTATGCCAATTATTATATTATTATTGTTCTTGATATTATTTTGTGTTACTTATTTCAATTTACACTTTAGGGAAGAGTTTGGTAGAAGAGAAATTTTTTTATGTCTGAGAATCACGATTACCAGGAATATGTTGGGGAAATGAATTTTCAAAAAAATGTGATTAAAAAGCTGTTTGGTAGGCCAAAATATTATTGAAAATATTGACTCGAGTATACTGATGCTATGTTTCATTGATTGTCAAATATTACTGAAAATCTGAGGTGATTTTACAAAAATAACCTCAGCTTTATTCTTTTCTCAACACATTTCCTCTAACCCCACTGTCGGTCTAATTGGTTTCCTCCAATTTAAAGCAATCCAAGTTGGGAATTATAATGTCAGGACTCTGAGCTAAGTAGCTAACTCCTCAAATTGACTTTCCATACTATCTTTGCCAACTAAAAAACTATCACAAAGGTCTAAAAATAATAATAAAAAAAAAAAGCAAGGTTGGTTCCCTTAAAAAAATAAAAATGAGGGCTCTAACTCCCCCTGATGAAGATGTTGGTTGAGGCGGTGTAACATTGGGACAAGAAACGCAGCCGTTTTGCCAGAGCCGATACGAGCCATGGCAACAATGTCAGAGCCAGAAAGGATGAGGGTACTGGTGTTCATCAACCGATCCAAATCGATTCAAACCGCGGTGACCGAACCAAAAACTCGAAAATCAATTTAACCGAAAACCAAAAAATCAAAAATTGAAAAATAATTGCAAAATTTAATTGGATTGGATCAGTTTTTGGATAGGTTGGTGAAAACCAATCTAATCCAAATCGATTCAATAATTCCTCAGCCTTACCATCTACTTATTTAGGCCTTTCCCCAATCATCACCCAAAAATCATATAGCAAAATTCTAAATATAAGACCCATTAACTCACCATGTTGGAGAAGGTAGGTTGTGTTTGATCTATGTTATGCTCTTTTTTTTTTTATAAGATACATAATATATATATATATATATATATATATATATATATATATATATATATATATATATTGGTAAGATACATAATATATTTTTATTACATAGATTATTGTTGTATAGCAGCTCCTCTATAGGATAAAAATTTGGGTTACTTTGTATCTTAGGCAACCATTTATAAAATTTTTGTTGGAAGTAAAAGATGACAATTTAACTTTTTGTTGTACAATGTTTCTAGATTGCACAATAATCATCATAAAAATCTTAGGCTTTTCAAAAGATCGAAAACCGATCCAATCCAAACCGAATAATATTGGATTGAATTGGATCAGATTTGAAAAAAATTCAAACTGAATGGATGATTACATGATTAAACCGAAGAGATTGGATCAGTTGATTTTTACTTCCAAAACCGATTCAATCCAGACTGCGAACACCCCTAGATGGAATAAATCTTTGGTGCTACTGTTGTAGCAAGATTCAGTGCATCCCACTAATGAGAGCATTACACATCATAGGAGAGAGAAAAAATTTGGCAAAGAAAAGAAATCTTTAACTGACATGTAATATTTCTATTGGTGGGATGTGCTGAAGCTTTGGTGCAACAGTAGCACCAAAGATATATTCCCCTAAATGAGGGGCATGGTCTTCCTTTGAATTGGAGGGGGCACTTTGTACCCTTTGCGCTTGATTCCCTTGAACACATTTGAACTCAGACCTAGCTAGTGACTCAAAGTCCCCAGATTTTGGCTTCTTCTTCTCCTTCCTCGAACTACTTCCTTCACCTCCCAATTTATCGGGTGGATGAGTGTCAACCTGGATATCTTGGGTTACAAGTTTTTTGCCATGGTTTTCTCATTCAGGAATAATATGCCAACAGAAGGGCATTTTTGTCCCAAAAATACCAAACGTTGAGGATTTCAAAAATACTACCTCTTTGGTGGTATTTTTATATGGTATTTTGGAAGATAATTTGTACATAAATCAAAATCCCGGCAAAATCAGATTCCAGGAATAATTTTTACAAACCTTATATCAAACGTGGATAAATAGGATTTCTTATATTACTTTTCAGAGAATATAAAAAAAAATTCCTCTACCAAACACTCCCTTGATCTATTTGTTTGGCTAAACACAGAGTTCCAGTAAAGACGATAAATATAACTATATTTCCAAGAGAGAAAATTAAAGAAATGGAACTGTAAAAAACAATGAGCATCTTAAGGACACTTGATTCTTTGAATAAATGTCGATGCGGCTTTTGGCAGTGAGCACGTTCATTAGTGCATAAGGCTTCTATATCACTGGGATTAATATCCTATTTGTTGGGAGAAAATTTTGATTTCTATTGAAAGATGTACGATGAGGCTTCTTTTAACACCCATTTCCTTTTCCTTGTGGGTTTTGTATACTACTAATAATTAATAATTGCAATGTAACAGCTATGAGAGATTGATGCAGTTTGTAATCATAAACAGTGGCAGATGCATTATTCGTTTGAGAAAAAAAAAAGTAAAAAGAAAAACCACTACAAGAAATAATGGGTTTAGCGGCGGTTTAGTTTTGGTTTAGCGGCGGTTCAAACCGCCGCACAAAATTTCCCTGTCATTTTTAGAACCGACATTGAATTTGGGGTCGTTAAATAATTTCGCGTCGGTTTTACGAAACCGACGGAATAACCGCCGCTAAAATAAAAAATGACGTTATGCCGTTCAAAACCGCCAGGAGTACTGTAGAAGAATTTTGATAGTTAGCCACGTTTAACCGTTGCTAATTTCTGTAAAAGAAATTTTGTTATCCTTATTTAGGCACGTCTTAATCGTGGCTAAAATACTTATTTTAATAAAAAAAATTCATAGCCAAACATGGCTATTTTTTAAATTTGCTGATATTGTTCGATTGGTATAGAATAGTAAATGAAACATTCTTCGACATTTAAACCAATCCTGACAATGAAAAACGCAGAGGCAATAACACGATATTTCTTACTATTCAATTTAAATTTGAAATGAGGTTAAATTCCCACAATATTTAATGGCTTTCCTGAAACTTGCAACAATATCAATCAAGAGTTCCACATAAATTAACCGTAATTTAAATTAAACATATATCAGTAATCAATCTTATAAATGTCCCCGATGATAGAATGCTTTTGAGTCCTTAGTAAAAGGCAGAGGGGAAAGTTGCAAGAGATTATAATGGGAAACATTTATAATATGTCAATGCAGAACTACTGGCCAAGCATAACAAACGCTATCACTATTTTATGACATGAAAATTTTGTATCTCTCTCTTTTAATAACTGGTTTCTTGTGTATGCAAATTCTCTCCCTTATTGTCTTTTCATAGACCACCAGCAGAGTTTCCTTGACACCTTACCTGCAACATCCAAATTATTCTACAGGAAACACTTTCTATTCACGGTATCTATCACTTGCCTTATAAAACCAAACAGACCCATGTTAAACATACAAAAGCTAATTCATGTTAAACCCATGTGCAGTGGACAATAGACACTATTTTAATTAATTCACCTGCAAAGGTATGCATAAATTTGAAAACAATAAGTTGTTGAGTTGTTGGAATTATGGATCATGGGAAGGAAAACGCCCACAAACTTTGAGCTATCTACATCTCTAAAATCAAGAAAAATAAAAAAAATAAAAAAATTCAGAAACACTTCCAAATTCCAATACTGAAATGGTAAATTTAGAATAAAAAAAGGAAGAAAAGATTTACCTTTCGATTATTTGTCATGGGGTGTAGTTGGATAATATCTGCAGTGATCAAGTATGAAGGTGGAAAATTGAGTAGTAGGGTATGTGGCAGTGAATAGAAAGAAAGAATGATAGTGAGAGTAACTTATTCAAGCATGGAGAACTTGAATTTTAAAGATAAAATAAAATTCATCTAACTCTTTACCAGGTGTTCCAACTAGGGGTGTGCAAAAAAACTGGTTCACTTGCCCTGCCCTTGATCCGACCTTGACTCGACCCATAAATACCCATATTTTTTGAACTGGCTTAAATACTGACCCACTTTTATTTGGGTCAGTTTTAGACCTGACTCGTTTTAATATTGACCCACTGACCCAAAACTTGACTCATACCTATTATGTGAAAAAAAAATCACAATTACATTAAAAGAAAAGTTTTAACGTAAAACAATTACGTCAAAATTTTTTATGGAAAATATTTTCATAAAAATTTTCGCAAAAATTTTTGACGAAAAATATTTTCATCAAAATTTGTGACTAAAAACATATCGGTAAAAAAATTTGACGGAAAATTTTTTGTGTCAAATTTTTTTACGGAATCTAAATTTCGTCAAAATATTTCACAAAAAAAATATATTCATAAAAACTTTCGACGAAACACATTTTCATCGAAATTCTTTGACGGAAAAAAAATTTCATCAAAATTCTTTACAGATTTCAAGTTTTGGCGAAAGTTTTCGATGGAAACATTTTCGTTAAAATTTTTGACAAAAAAAAAATTTCGTCGAAATTTTTTGCGAAACACATTTCTATCAAAAAATTTCAACTAAATATTTTCTTCAAGTTTTTTGATAAAGAATATATCCATCAAAATTTTCGACGGAACACATTTCTGTAAAAAAAATTCGTAAATTTTTTGACAAAAATATTTCGATAAGAAATTTTGACAGAAAAAATACTTTGTCTAAATTCTTTAGAGAATCTAAATTTCGTCGAAAGTTTCAAATGAAACATTTTCCTTAAAACAATTTCCATTGAAAATTTTGACGAAACACATTTCCATCAAAAAAATTCGACAGCAAAAAATTTCATTAAAATTCTTTACAGATTTCAAATTTTGGCGAAAGTTTTCGACGGAAATATTTTCGTCATCAAAAAATTTCGACTACTAAAAATTTTATCAAAATTCTTTACAGATTTCAAGTTTTGGCGAAAGTTTTCAACGAAAACATTTTCGTCATCAAAAAATTTTGACGGCAAAAAATATCGACGACAAAAAAGTACATCAAAATTCTTTACAGATTTCAAATTTCGGCTAAAGTTTTCGACGGAAATATTTTCGTCATCAAAAAATTTTGACGGCAAAAAATTTCGTCAAAATTCTTTACAGATTTTAAATTTTGGCGAAAGTTTTCGACGGAAACATTTTCCTCATCACAAGATTTTGACGTGAAAAAATTTCGACGGCAAAAGAATTCATCAAAATTCTTTACAGATTCAAATTTCGGCGAAAGTTTTCGACGAAAAAATTTTCATTAAATTTTTTGACAACAAAAAAATTTTCGTCAAAATTTTTAGCGAAACATATTTCCATCGAAAATTTTCAACTAAATATTTTCGTCAAGTTTTTTGATAAAAATTTTCACCGAAACACATTTCTATAAAAAAATTCCGTAAATGTTTCTGACAAAAAAAACATTTTGACGAAAAAAATATTCTGTCAAAATTCTTTAGAGAATCTAAATTTCGTCGAAAGTTTCAAATGAAATATTTCCCTCGAAATAATTTTCGTCAGAACACATTCCCATCGAAATTTTGAACGAAAAATATTCCGTCAAATTTTTTGACAAAAATCTTTTTTCGTTTAAAACATTTGATGGAAGAAATCTTTTTCGTCAAAACTGTTGACGGAAACTAAATTTCAATAGAAAATGTTTTTTGTAAAAATTTCGACGAAAAAATAATTTTGTGACGAAATTTTCGTCTTTTGCAACGACAAAATTTCGACAAATTTTTTTGAGAAAATCAAGTCAAAAACGGGTCAGGTCAGATTTGACCCAGTTCAGAAACCAAGTCAGACCCACTTCAGAAACCAAGTCAGGTCAGATCCAAACTGGTTCTGAACTAGTTCAACAAAATCCAATCCAAGTCAGACCTGACTTGGTTCAAATTAAAGCGGGTCGGGTCAAAATACCTTACCTATAAAAACCAAATTGGGTCGAGTCGGACAAAAACCTGACCCGACTTGACCCATGCACAGCCCTAGTTCCAACTCCAATTGTGTCACCAAGGGAGATTTCAAAGCAACCCATATCATATAGTTCTTTAGCAACATATGCCACCTTTGAGAGAGGAATTGGTCCTTCCACTGGGCATCCAACAACACATGATACATACCTATAATATTTCAATACAAAAGAAACTAATTTCAATTTGGAATACACAGAATTTTTGTCAGTTAAATTTACAATATCAAACAAAGGAGAAATTGCAGGGCAGTAACTACAACTCTTTCATAAGATATCAATCAAGAAAAAGAAGAAGTGGAAATTGATGAAACAAATGCATACTAACAAGTATTGAAGCGGACAATTATATGATGGAATCTTAAAATAATTAAAAAGAAAATAAAATGCATACCCTCGAACAGGAATTAAGAGTTCTTTAGCAGCACGAGTATCAGCTCGATAACGAGCAAGACTCTCTTCAACACTACAATTAATTAAAAAAAATCGAGGAGTCCATGGACCTCTGTGCAACCCAACTTTAGAACAACAAGGAGCTTTTCCCATCTTTGTGCACTCTTCGCCTAGCTATCACTTAAACCGTACAAAAAAATTAAAATCAACTTCCAAGCCAAATTGTATGGAGAGAAGGTTCTCTACCTCATAAAGGAAGCAGAGAGCACCTTGGGTTCCCAATACCTCCTTGTCCTTTTAAATGGTCCAGTGGATTCTGATCCATACCAATAACAACTAGAAAAATATCATGAAGTCATCATTTTAATTCCATTTTAATATCAAATAAAAGATTCCTACTAAGAACTCACCTGCATTTTTGTTGGACTTTTATCTTTCAATAACAAATTGTACCCAAAAGACTTCCATTTTTAATTCAACAGCCTTATAGATAGGAGAAAGTGAAAAAAAAACATGTAATTAGTCCTCATATGAAACTAAAAATATCAATATAACTAACTTCTAAATAGTAAATATGATAATAAAAATATATTAATTGATACTTAATGTTTACGTTAAATTGTATTATTATTCAAGATAACTATATAAAGTAAAAAAAAAAACGCTACATCTCAATTTAATGCTTATTATTATTTTTCTTATTTTATTTGTTTGATTATTTATTTACAGATTTAGTGATAAAAGTTATATATCTAATAATAAATATTTGTAATTTTTATAAGTTTATAACTATTATTTTTTGTATAATTTTTGTAAATAAGTAATTTTATTATTTAATTTATACCATTTTATCTAAAATTTAAATAATTAATACAACATTTCTTTTTTAATAGGAAACACATACTTGTTTCCCGTAGGATAGTCCAAACCATTATCTTTGAATTGAATTGGATATCAAAGGACAAACGGGCTATATCCCATATAACGAATGGTCAACTTTGTTCCTGAACGGCAAAACTTTTATCTTTCTCATCTATAATTTTAATATTTTTTATATTATAAGAGATTAATTTTATTTTATATATATATATATATATATATATATATATATATATATATATATAAATAAGTATGTGTAATTTATATTTTTGTGTTCTTTCTTTTCTTCTCACATTGGGCCATATTGACGCTATATATTTTTATGCATATATAAAAAATAAATTTATTTCTTATAATATGAAAAATATTAATCTCATCTTTTAAACGGCAAAATTCTTGTCAAAGCGTATAAGCTGATGACAAAAGTAAAGACTTTCAAAGAAATAAAGTTGAAAGAATAGCATCAAACATAGAATAAAGTTCTACAATTAATCACCCTTAATATAGAATAGAATCCTTCACAGAAATAAAGCTCAGGAAAAGCAAAAAGTAACGGCATATATAGTGTCATTTAAGCTCCCATAAAATAACAAAAACTACGATAAATACAAGACAAATGCATATTATACGCAGCATGGAGAGATTCAAAACAGACCTGTTATATAACCTGGATCAAGTTTTGTAATACCGAAAAGACCACTATCAGGACTGGACTTGCAACCAGGGTGATCTGTCTAGTTGTAAGGCTCCAGCATCATGCACTTAAGCCAGCAATTGACAGCAGAAAGAAGCTGCAAACACAAATGAATTGAAAACACTACACTCTTATACTGTACATTTAACTCTTTAAGTCATAACTTGTAATGCTAATTTCAGACATAGAAAATCAAACAGAGGAGACAACAGTGTTGGAGCTAGGTTCCAAGCAGAACAAAAATGCACAAATTCTTTCATTGCTTTTATATCCTTTCAGAACTTACATCTTCATCAGCATATAGACATGTAAGGAATTTTTTTGAAGAAGCGAGAACCAAGTTGAGAACTTACATCTTCAAGAAGCTAGGGGGGATTTCCTTATTAGATTACATGTTATTTCATAAGTTTAGGGAAGGGGTTAAGGGAGAAACTCTTTTGTGTAATTGGTAAAGAGTTACAGAGTTGAGAACCAAGTTGGAGCTCCAGATGGTTCAAAAAAGTTGTTACTAAGATCCCAAGTTGGAGCTCCAGATTGGTATAGAATAGTAAATGAAACATTCTTCTTTTGTATTTATGTTGATAACAACTGTAACATATAGAGGCGGTTAAAGTGTTGGCCGCGAGTAAACCGCCCCAAAAACCCGGTTTTCTTGTAGTGAACAAACCAAACCTCCATAGTTAAATTCTTATGTTTAATCTGTTATGTTCCCATATTCTTTCTCTAACTTTGATGTATATATGTTCGATTTCAATAAAGGCTCAAACGATTTTAAAATCCGATCTGTACAGGTTGCCTACATTGGGTATAAGATGTTTGCTGACGAGTAGCTTTCGTTATAGGTTGAAGGTAGTGGCTGAATTAGAATTTTTTTATCATGAAACGAAAATAAAATATTAAAGTTATAACTGTTATTAAGATTAACAGGAGGGGTTAATTATTATAAGTATTTTTAGAGGAGGGATTAACTATTTATACTAATAGTTTATTATTAGGGTAAATATCTTTTTGGTCCTTAGCAAATTTCACGATACCCGCTTTAGTCCATAGCAAATAAAAAGACTATTCGTGGTTTCTAAGAAATTCAAAATGGATCTATTTAATTAAAATCATTGTCCCTCACAAATTCAAAAAAGATCCACATTAGTATCTCAAAAGGACTAAAATTATAGGGATAAGATATTATTACTACCAAATAGGGATAATAATAAGGATAAGATATTATTATAAAAATATTATTTTATACATATAATAATAGGGATAAGTATTGTTACTACCAAATAATGTTACTATCAATGTCACTATCATATCTTAACTGTTGATTTCTGCCAATCAACGGTTATCATTTATTGCGAATTAATAATTAATTAATGAGTTTGATTTGTGGAAATAATAATCGTTTCATGACGGAAATCAACTATTAAGATATGGTGGTAACATTAGTAGTAACATTATTTGGTAGTAACAATATCATATCCCATAATAATAATAAAGGGTTCTGTTTTTCTCATGTTGTAGGAGAATTCTTTCTCTTACTATAGACACAAGATATGATGGGTCCCACCTCCCATTAAAAAACAAAAATAAAAAAAGTTGTTGCACACATTTCAATGTATCACTAGTAGGAGAAAGAATTCTCCTACAACATGAAAATTCTTTTCCCCAATAATAAATTAGAGTTTACAGAGAGAGGACTCCCAATCCTCACCCGTCTCTTGCGTCCTCACCCCTTTTTGTGTTTGCTTAGGCAGGTCCAGGAAAAGCCTGAGGTGGGGAACCACCACCAATGAGCTAAGTTAAACTATCCATATCAAGTGAATTTGACATTACTTCTCTTTGTCCATTATCAATCAATGTGGGACACATCATGTAAGAACCTGCACCATTATTTAAGGAAGTTAATTAAGTAATTATGAGAAATTAGGAAATGATTCCATAATTGACCCTAATAATTATATTGATGGTTTAATAATTATGGTAAGTAGATAATAATGTTGAAAGTCGCTTTTCTGACGAAAAGTGCAGATACCGGTTCTGCTACTCGGTATAAATGCATACCGATGAAGTATCCCGAAAAATTATAATAAGTGCACGAATATTCCTAGAATATTATATAGGACTTGTAAAACAAGTTTCAAGTCGAATTACTAAGAACGGGTGCCAGAACTGACACTAGCTATGAAAAAGCGCGTACCGGAAAGGTGTTGCGAAAAATAAAATAAAAATATGAAAAATCTTAGAAAAATGAGTAGGTTCAGATTCCAAAGTTTGGGATTAAAATGCTAAGTGTATTAATTAGCGCTAATACTGTGCGATTAAGGCTTAAGTGACTATAAATACTCATTTTAGGCCCAAAACCCTAGGCACCTTGCATTCCTACGTGACTTGTTGGGGTGGCTGATCAGTTGCTAATGTTCCATTGGTTCTCTTCATCTTTTCTTGAGCCAAAGGCCATTTTCTTCCATTTCTCTTCTCCTAAACACTTGGTGTGTGTGAGAGTTATCATTGGGGGTAGGTTGTGAGCTTGTTGTTGAGTTGTGGACTCTGGTTTGGTGGAGTGGAAGGGCTTTTTTCGGAGTTTGGTGAAGAGGGAGCTTTTATCTAGGCATTTTATGCTTCAAGGAGTGACATTTGGTGTGAAAGAACCTCTCTTGATCACCATTTTCGTGGGTTGTGCTTAGCCTGACTTTGGGAGCTTCAAGTGAGCTCCAAGTGCCTTTGTTTCTTCTGTTTTGAAGCTTTGGGTATGTTCCCTAACTTGATCATGAGTTTTAATGGGTTAAAGCTTGAGTCTTGCCATGTTTAATGAGTTAAACAAGTATGTAATCAGTATATGAACCTAAAAGAGGTTAAAAATGTGTGTTTTAACGTTGGAATGGGTTAAAAACCCAACCTTTGGAGTGATATCTCGCAAAATGCAGAACTGCATTCTGTCGCGAAATATCCGGATATTGTTATCCGGATAAGGGGTTATGTGATATCCGGATAATGTTATCCGGATATGGGGTTCTGTGATATCCGGATATTGATATCCGGATATGCCCCCGATAAATATCCGGATATTCTGGGATTGCGTGAACAGTAACGGTACTATTCATACAGAACTGAGTTATGGGTTTGTGGACCCTAGTTTGTGTAATTAGAACTTCTGTAATGACTAAGTTAAGTCAGAATCAAGGGATTAAGGGCTTGTGGCTTTGTGAGAAGCCTTAAGACATGAAACGTAAAAGAGAAGCGTTGTCTTAATGTTTATGCTTATGAGCTATGGTTATTGATATGATTGCTGGTCCCAAATCATATTGTGATTCTGTTGTGTTGGGCTTTGAGCTTTGATTGGACTCTTGGCATTGGATTGTTAGCTTGCAAGGTAAGCTTTCATGTCCTCGGTTTGGCCATTGTTTGTTCCACCATGTCCCATGGGGGGATGGTTACATGCATGATGTGTTTTCATGTATTGTTTTGCTGAAATGCTATTGAATTGTTAAGTGCAAATGCTATATGATATGTATGTGGTGTTCCGTCTAAACAGGAAGCCATGGAGTGGTCCTGTGGGCGAGTACAACATGGGCTGGTATTATGTGGGTAATAGACGTATTCCTGCATTTCTCTGATTAGTAGAATTGTTAGAACACACATGACATGATTATCTGCTGCATTGCACTTATTTTGGAACTTATACTATTGA